AATCTGGTTGTTGAAACCACATATGTATATTTTACTCCTCCCAAAAATGCTAAAAAATAAACGAGTGAGAGCGTGTTATATAGGCTATATCATGTTATAGCCTAGTCAGATGCGACACGCATCACCGCAGATGAGCAGCTGAGCGTCTATTCAACGTGCAAACATCGCAAATAAAAGTGAAAGTAAGTCACAGACGCAGTTAACACATCTTCAAGTAAAGAAACGAAATTATCTTACCAGGCCTGTTGCCACTCTCTCTTATTGATGTCTCTGATTTGGAAATTAGCTGATGATCAATAAAATGCCGCTCAGATCTGTTGCTTTTGGTGGCGTGCAATCCAATAAATCTGCATATAACGCAGGAGGTGAAGATCGGATTTATATCCGTTTTGCAAAAACACATTTATGTGGCCAGGTGTAAATGGAATCAGTACTTATTATCCGGATAACTTATCTGGATACAGATCGCATTTTAATACCAGGTGTAAACGGGGTCTTAGTCATCATAGCGAAGTAGCATGATGCTAATCTGTCTATTAAAAAGCCATAGCCTGCACAAGTTAATTCCCATGTTCCCCTTAAAAGTCACCGGTGCTTTCTGTAATATGCATGTACTTGCGGGCGTCATGGTTCGGTGCATGAATTTAAAAATAAATAACTCGCGTGCAATTTAATTAATGTAATGCGGAACTACATTACACGCGGGATCTTTAGGGACATAATCTGAGATTGCAATGATGGAATGTGAGATCAAACAGTGGAAACAATGTTGTTTTGTGTGTTTTTAATACCTCGTCATTTAGTTCATACAGGACATTATTTAAACTGCAATGTGTTAACTTATATTTGTTTACAATCGCAATAAAACACAACATTGTGCTTTTGTCAAACAAATTCTTGCGTGTTTGGAGCGAGTTTCTTTCCTGTTTATGCTCGCCAGCCATAATCTCCGTCGTTGTTCGGACAAAAGCTTCATCCATATGGAGTCTAATGACGGGTATAGTGTAAAATCCCGATTTAACTGAACCTCCGGCACGATTTTAACATCCATCGACCCAGCAGGAGATGACCATTTTCACTTTATAGCACGAAACTCATTTCACTTCGTATTGCTTCTTCTAATGTTTTGCCCTCAGCAATGGCGCCGGGTCGGCAAATGCCCGTATGTTGTGACGTCATGTGGGAACTATGTATACGTAAAGTCTTTTTACACCAATCTAAATTAAAAAAAGAGAAATATGAGGACATTATATGTTATAATTTACTCACCTCTAAGCTCAATGACTTGACAAGGCCTCGCGCAATGAACTTCTTTTCTTCCAGAAAACGCTTCTCTCTTCCATTCCACTTAATGACCGTCGTCACCACGAGTAATGCTGTCATGTCTTTGTGTTTTAATTGTGATAGTTCATAAATATGAACGTAAATGAACGATAATTTCAGTGAGGAAATCAACCAAACCGTATTTTATGGAGCATACACTACGCGGAAAGACGCTAACTGACAGTAATGAGCATCAGCTGCTCTCGAGACTGGACAACGCCCGCGGCGCGTGCGCGTGAAGGAAGCTCTGGTCACATGGGCTATGTCTCATAACTGCAGTACAGTTTAATATTGGTAGGCCAAGACTTCAGATGCAAAAAGCAAAAACTTCATCTGTCTTTTTTTCATACTATAAAGCTCCTTTATTTAGGTTCAGTAATTCCACTTTTTAATGGCAACTAAACTGATATCATTGCCTGAGAGCCCAATAAAAACATAAAACTAAAAAAAAATGGATTAGTTTTCTCTATCAAAAAGAGTCTATCACTTTTTAAAGTGTATCACTGAACTGAAGTTATTGTATCTATAGGCTACTACTTCATTATACTGCAAATCTACAGTTGTACTGCAGTTTTACTTCACTATTCTGAAGTTGTACTTTTTGTACTGCTGTTTTACTGCAGTTGCACTTCAATGTACTCTAGTCACATTGTGTCTATACTGCAGTTATACTTCGTTAATACTGCAAATCTACAGTTGTACTGCAGTCACATTATATCTATACTGCAGTTATACTTCGTTAATACTACAAATCTACAGTTGTACTGCAGTCACATTGTATCTATACTGCAGTCATACTTCGTTAATACTGCAAATCTACAGTTGTACTGCAGTTTTACGTCACTATTCTGAAGTTGTACTTTTTGTACTGTGGTTTTACTGCAGTTGCACTTCAATGTACTGCAGTCACATTGTATCTATACTGCAGTTATACTTCGTTAATACTGCAATTCTACAGTTGTACTTCATTGTACTGCAATTATACTGCTTTGAACTGCAGTTTTACTGCAGTTGTACTTCATTGTACTGCAGTTATTTTTTTAAGGGAGTAATAAGCTGTAAATATACTAACATGTAAAAAATACTGGCAGGGAAACTATAAATCATAATTCATATTTGCTTCTTTTGTATTTCACAGAAGAAATTAAGTCATATGAGTTTGGCATGACGTGGGTGAGAAATTATGACAGAGGTTTCATTTTATCAGCTGTAGGCTTGTTTTTATCCTGGTGGTATTGAATGTGTGTAATAGTATTTAAGTGGGTGTTTTAATTCTGACATTTATGCTATAATCAATGGAATTGACCTGAAAATGTCCCACAGGCCCCGTGTTTGTTTGTTGAAAAGCTGTGAAGGGTGTATATGTGAACCTTGTGGTGATGAGGAGAGACGGACATCAAATTGACACATGAACAGCGTCCTCACGAACCAGTCGGAGCCGCAGCAGTCCGTTTACCTGCACTCAACACATGCAGACACAGACTAACGCACACAATGAGTGTGTGCGCGTTCCTTCTGCTGTGCCTTTCCATGGTTGTGTAATTACGCCTTAGCCACCACTCAGCAACAGAAATCGCCTGTAATTGCCGCTCAATGTCGCTGTTTGTTTCCTGTGTCAGACAAATCTTTCTTTCTCTCTTTCATTTCTTCCCTCTCACTCTTAGAACCTTGTCATTTTGTCATTCTAAAAATGGGAAAACAGAGGTGCACGTTAAGCGCAGATGTCTTTTTTTTAACCCTCTGCTAGTTGTTATTTACTTTGCAGATTCTTGTTTTCTACTGTAATTCCAAGTGTGTTTCGGTTTTTGACTTAGGCTAATTGAAATTAAGTGTTTTGGTAGTTCTTTAGTTGTCCTTGATGTTCGTTCAGTCTTAGTTAATGCATCCAAGAAGTTCTGATGTTGAGATACAAAATGTGCCTGTACTAGAACACTTAGATCCGGATGTTTGGTGGTAATTTTTTGTGCTTGTTAAGGTTAATATCAGATGAAAGTCTTCTCCAGATTACAGCCCTTGCCCACCATGCAACAAACAATGGTGTCTTGTTGTCTGTGTTTGCTATGTTTGTTTCAGCAATTGAAAAATATAAACCCAGAACATCTTTTTAATTCTGGATCCCACGGGTGGTGAATAAGGAGATTACTCACATAGACTTTGCTTTCATTCTTTTTCCTGAACAGGTTGCAATGAATTATCCCCAACATGCTGGTTAAGAAGACCACCAGTGGCCTCAAAAAAAGCCTGAAGCTTTTGTTTTTCTCCCACAAACCCCCTCTGACATGTGTAAAGTGTTGGATCAGGTTGTGTCCTGAGGGAAGACATGTTCAGAATGAATTATCACTGTGGAGAGTTTAACCGCATCCCTTCAGTCATTAAGATTTATGTTCCTGTGTGTTTGTTTTTTATTCTTTCTGCAAATGTATCTTCAGCATCCCAGCCAAGACTTGTCATGTGTGCAAATAGTATTGGCATAAGTGATCTTCCCTGGTATTTTTTCTGATTCACTCCCACAGCTAACGGTTAATTACAATTTTATTAAAAATATTATTATGCCAAGTAATATATTTCAATAACTGTAGTTTGTTTATTTTTGCTAAGTAAAGTAGCAACTGCAACTTCTGCAACAGATAGATGGATGGATATTAATATAAAATTATTTGTTTTATGTTGTTGAATTTGGGTGTTTTTTGTAAGTTACCTTCTAAGACATTTCTGATGGTTCTTGAATGTTTCTATAGACAGTCATTGTTCAAAACTGGGCAAGTCAGTCTTCAGCTTGCCAGCTTGAGTAGATTGTCTGTTTTTTTCATCCCATGTTTAACTCAATCAGTGCCCTTCTCAGGGGTTATAACAAATGACAGCAGCAAAATTACAGTCATCCATCTCGGCAGTGTGGATCTGCATCCTGTCTTTCTTGCCCACCCCCAGCACAAACGAAGTAGAAAGAGAACAAGGGAGACACAGAGGACATCAATGAAAAGAAATCTTACTAGTGTTTGTGCACCTAGTATACAGCCCAGATCACCATTTTTGTGTTTTGGTGGAATTTTTCCTTACATTGGTCCACTTAACTTGCTCCTTGTGTACCTTGTGGGTGTTGTATGGTGTCAAACCGAAGTGCAGGTGGAGCTACAGGTGGATATTGTGATGCAGGCTTTGTGATACAGCCAGCTCTGAAACAGCAGCTGCTACTTCGTGGCACGTTTGGAGTGAAATTAGCAGTAATTGCAGACCTCCCCTGCCTTCGTTTCAGAGAGCATTGTTTTATCACCATGAAAACTGTTGGATGTGATTGGAAGAGAAAGCTTTGTATAGAAAGTGAAGGCTGTTTTTTCACATCATCATGTAGGTTGTCCGCCCTAATTATTAACTACTGTTGCTGTCAAAAGATAAGCTTAAAAAAACTGTCTTTTGGCTTAACACCTACCATTTCTCTCAACGAAGTAACAAAAAGGTTTCCCCTAACTACTTCTATCCTGTCAAGTCCCACTTGGTGATCTTATGACTGAAAGTAATGTATGCCTTAACAACACCTGCAATAAAGAAAAGATGTTACCATTTACAAAGCTACTTGGAAACAAATTATAATTGTGAAGCCCTAGTTTCTTCAGTTACACAACCTTATCATGAAGATTATTAGCAAATCTGAAATTTTTTCGCTTTGTTTTGTGTTGCAGACAGAGGTGATCAAAGGACCATCTGGGAGCGTGGGGATGACTTTCAGGCATGTTCCGGCCAGTGATGGTGACACAGTGCACGTGAGCATAGAAACCGTCACCCCAAACTCTCCAGCTGCCCTGGCGGACTTACAGAGAGGAGATCGCCTCATTGCTATTGGAGGTTAGAGACTACATAAATGTACTCTTTACCATTCAAATGAAATGTTTGACATGGTGGGTACTGGGTAGGTCATTTGATGCCCAATTTTGGATAGTGTTATAATACATTCGCAAAGCTTCAAGTGTTGTTCATGTCTGTTTGCACAGGAGTCAAAGTGACGTCCTCTGTCCAAGTGCCGAAACTTCTGAAACAAGCTGGAGAGAGAGTGATAGTCTTGTATGAGAGGCCAGTCCGTCACCAGGTGCCTGCTGTGGGGTTGGGGACACTCCAAGAAACCCTTGGCCCAATAGAGGAGCCTAGCTATCTTCCTCATCCTGGGGGCTACGAGGAGGACCCAGCCCCAATAACCACCATGGACATATCTGATAACAGAGACAATGACTCTGAGTTTGAGGAGCTGATCGTTGAGTCCAAATCAACTGCAGCTCCAGTCACTGTTGACACTAAGGAGGATTTCCTACTCTCTGTAAACCAAAGTCCCAAAAAAACTGTGGCCAACCTGGCCAAGCCCCTTGGTTCCATCTCACCAATTCTCAACCGCAGGCTGAACCTTCAGTCACCACTCAAATCCCAGTCCAAAGAATCACCAAAGCCCGCAACTCTCAAGACTGCTGAACCTTCCGAACAGCCACAGAGACCAACAGTGCCCCCTCCTCCACCACCTGCACGCCCTCCTGTTCCTCCCAGGCCCCATATAAAAGTCACATCTGCTTCAGAAAGCCAAAGCCTGGTAGAAGGTAATGAACCTGCTGTGGAAAAAAGTCCAGAGAAAACGCAACCCATTACTGGCAATGGCGAAAAAACATTAGAAAAAATCCCTGTTAAGTCACCAGAGTTGAAGCCTGTGAGCAAGCACCCTGATCCCACAGAGGAAATCCTAAATATTCCAGCCACAAACAAACAAGATTCAGCCAAAGACAAAATATCTGAGAGCTCCTCCAACACTAGGGACAGTGTAGACGAGCAGGGTCTCTGGGAATCGTCTGAGACCATGTACCGCAGCAGAACTGCCCGCTGGAACAAAGCCTCTGTGATCTTTGAAGTGGAAAACAACCACAAATTCCTTAATATAGCACTTTGGTGCAAGAACCCCTTCAAGATCGGGAGTCTCTTGTGCTTAGGGCATGTCAGCTTGCGCTTGGAACACATAGCACTGGAATGCTTATCTACGTCATCCGCTGAATATCAGAGCACCTTCCGTCTATGTGCTCCTGAACCAAGGGCCAGCGTCAGCCGTACCGCTTTGCGCAACTTAAGCACTCACAAAGGTTTTAATGAGAAACTCTGCTATGGAGATGTTACAGTCAACTTCACTTACCTGGCAGACGGGGAGTCAGACCTCTCCAGTGGACTGACAGAACGTGAGCGGGATGGGAGTCTTCAGGAAGAGGACTTAAAAGACCGGGAAAAGGAGAGAGACCAGGTGCTCATGGTAACCCGGGATGAACAGAGTTACAGTGGCATGCAGATAGGAGAGATGCGGCACAATTTTCAAGACACTCAGTTCCAGAATCCCACTTGGTGCGAGTATTGCAAGAAGAAGGTGTGGACCAAGGCTGCCTCGCAGTGCATGACCTGTTCTTATGTCTGTCACAAGAAGTGTCAAGAGAAATGTCTAACAGAGCACCCTTTCTGCGTAGCCACCTCAGACCGGCGTGGGGCAGATCCTGAGGCAAAGTCCACCATTAACCGGGCAACTACTGGACTTACACGACACATTATCAACACTAGCTCTCGACTCCTCAATCTGAGGCAGGTGCCCAAAACCAGACTTGCAGAACAGGTTGCAGAAATAGGATCAGGGGTGGTGGAACCTTCTCCGAAACACACGCCTAACACATCTGACAACGAGAGCAGTGACACCGAGACCTATGCTGGGGCCAGTCCTTCCAAGCAGCCACCTGGTAGTGGTGGATCCAAACTGTTGCGCAAGGAAGGTGGGCTAGATGACAGCGTGTTCATCGCCGTCAAAGAGATTGGTAGAGATCTTTACCGTGGCCTACCGACAGATGAGCGTTCGCAGAAACTGGAGTTTATGTTGGACAAGTTGCAGCAGGAGATTGACCAAGAGTTGGAGCATAACAACTCTCTAAATATGGAAGAACGAGAGACAATTGACTCTCGACGCAAGGCCCTCATCTCTGCAGCTCTGGCCAAGTCTGGTGAACGTCTCCAAGCTTTGACTCTGCTCATGATTCACTACCGTGCTGGCATCGAAGATCTAGAGTCTGTAGAAAGCACATCACCATCTGAACAGCATGGCTTTCCAAAGGCAAAGTCTGAGGGTCTGGAGGAGGCCCTAATGGGCACAGAAGTGTACGACAGTGACATTTGCAGTCCCGTTGATGTTCAGATGCTGGATGACATTACAGAGGAGCAGATCTGTGTAGAGGCGTTTCCGTAAAGATGACAAAAGGCACTAGGGGCTTGGGACTCAAGAACAAAGACTTTTTATCATGTATGATTTGGATTAAGGTTGACCTGTGAGCGTTCCACATGTGATTTGTGAGGTTTGCAAAAGTATTCCTGAAAATCACTGCAATGTACTGTTGAGGAATTTTCAGAGGGTGTCAGTAGTTTACCATTTTTTTTTACTTTTTAATTTTTAAAAATTATTTCCCCCTTTAGTCTTTTAGTTGCAGCTGTAGAGGACAACCCATCAATCTGAAGACTTTCAGCAGTATTACGTAAAATAGACAAAATACATTGTGATCAAGCCGAGTTTTACCTGCCTTACCTGAAAGGTGTAGTCAATTTTTTAAACATTGAAGCTTCAAAAGGGAGAGTCAGTGTGAGCTTGAAGCGAGAGGACCTTGAATACGTATTTTTATTCAAACTTTGTGTATTAGTACAGACTGAATTATATATGTGTGCTGTTAGTGATGTACTTGGTTGGAAATACACCCTGCCTAGTGTGTTTTGAGCTTCAAGCCCCCCTGCCTTATCAATCAACTACAAAATGTAGGATTTTACCTGAACAGTCCATAGAACATGATGCCATTCCTAACCAACATTGTCCTCGCTGATAAGCACCTTTCTCATGTTCCTTCACCATTGTTACTAATTTTAAAGTGTAATTTCTTTAATATTCTTTTTTGTTGTTGTTGATTTTAAAATGTTTAATGCTGAACTGAGAGGGAATCCTCATAGGACAGATAATCTTGATGTTATTATACTATTGGGGACCATTCTTTGTCTAATTTATGTCACAAAGCCAATGTGACTTTTTTTTCTTTTTTGAGGGAGGGATATTTATATTGCATTTCATAATATATGTTTCCAATAATTGTCAATAATCTTGTATTTTAATCTTTCAATTAATTTGCTTTGAACCTTTTAGTTTTTAAGTGGTTGCAATTTTTGAATCCGGGTGAATGGTTATATGTTTGTGTGAACGTGTCAGCCAGTTCATTTTTGGTTTCCTTTATGTACTGTAATGTTTTGTTTTGTTTTGATGCAAAGAACTTCTCATTGTGTCTCACATCCGTGTGCTTAGGCATGTTTTAGCACCTTCGAACGTTATTTTTTACATGTGTACTATTGAATGTATCTCCCATATGACTCACTTTACAGTCATTATTCCATTCACCTCTCAAAACATAACTTCTCTAAGTTTAAAACTACATCATTAAAATCTTTCTTTTGTCAATGCATACAGTATTCATTAATTCCCAAAGCTAATGTTTAAATTCATAATTTTTGTTGTTGTTATTGTTCTCATCACTCACATTTTAATATTATTTAAATGTGGTCCACACATGGGTATCCATCATTGGGTACATGCATTGCTGGATCTGTTTTCCTGAATTTCCAGTTGTGCTGCCCTAGTTAATGTTTCTGCTGCTATAACATCTATACTATTCACTGGGCCTGGTACATAATACATTTTTAGAGCGGGTCCCCCACACCCTGGCCCAATAATTACGTTTCACCATAGAGGACCTTATTGGGCCCCCTTGTCACTGGGCCTTAGTTTGTTACCACTCAGACCAGAAAGGAACTTTTTCCTTTTGAACAACTGAAATGAAAAACGTTTAAATGCTAAGCTCAGTAAAATAGTCTAAGATAATGTCTAAGATTTTTTTTTTCCTGTTTTAATTCTACTTGTCTAGTTGCTGCTACTGTTATCCTGTGCTTCTCAAATTCAACGCCAACAACATACGGTCTCAAAATATTGCTCCAATTATCTCTTTCACAATGGGTGAAAAACAGTAAAATAACAAGTATAAAACATCATATCCACCGTGGCAAACTGTGGTTAAGCTTTTTTTTGGAAAGCTGTTGTTCTTATTGGAAGCTGTCATGTGCTATTGTAAATAGCCTAGAAATGTGGGTGGCTTTAAACCATGTCCTTTCACCCTGAATTTATATAGTGCTCAACATGTGGATCCACCTTTTCTTTTTTTTATGTTGTGTTTGCTTTATGTAAATATGATTTTATTCTTTTTGTGAGGTTTAATTACGGTGGAGGGCATCCATCGACAAAGTGCATAGCTTTTAAATTTGCTGCAAGACCTTTACGCACTGACATATCATATTTGCTTATGCACTTGAGATAAATAAATTGTTAGAAATAAAAAAAAATGTCCTCTGTAATTTTTGCACCTTCCAAATCAGAGAGGTCTAGTGTGTCACGTATCACAATAGACAATCATTGCAACAGTGGTTCTTTTAGTTGCACCAGTTAACTGATGCCAGTTGCAATTGAATGTAATCATCAATGCGTGTCAGCAGCATGATATGATAGACATGAAAGTAGCGCTGGTTTTACCGGATGATATGCAGCCTTGCCATGTAAAGTGGAGAACGCTGCGATTGACCATAGATTGAAGTATTCCATAATATAATGTTGAAAATGACATTGTTTCATTTTAAACTCAATGCCATAGACCAATGTGTTCAGCACTTTTACATGGAAAAACAATGGAAAAGTCGTTCAGTGGAATAACGTTACAAAAAACAAAAGCATCCGTGTGAACTACCCCCTAGCTCTTACATTAAAGGGATAGTTCACTTTGCTTACCTCAAGGGCATCCAAGATGTAGGTGTCTTTGTTTCCACAGCATTTCAATTCTGACATTTTTTGGTCAAACCGTTCTTGTCTGTCAGTCATATAATGCAGTTTTAGGGGGTCCACCTCAAAGAGCATACACAGGGAAGTCAAAATTAAACACGATTTAATGACTCGTAAATGTAAGTACACATTGATGGCCTAAGACACGAAACGAGCGGTTTGTGTGAGAAAACGAACAGTATTTATATAGTTTTTACCTCTTGTTAACAGCCATCGAACTGATCTGAATCAGATGTCCAAACCTCAACTGAACCGAACTGAACCGGTTCCAGACGTTATGCCGGAAGTGATCTCTCGCGCGTCTACGTCACGTATTTTCTACATAGAGATTTCGGAAGTTTTACCTTTCACTAACCATATTTAGATATACGGGAAATCGCAATGGAAGACGATTTCGATATATCTAAATATGTTTAGTGAAAGGTAAAATATTCCCGAAATGTCCGTGTAAACAATGCGTGACGTAGACGCGCGAATGATCACTTCCGGCGTAACGTCTGGAGACGGTTCAGTTCGGTTCAGTTGGACGTCTGATTCAGATCAGTTCAACGGATGTTAACAAGAGGTACAAACTATATAAATACTATTCGTTTTCTCACACAAACTGCTCATTTCGTGTCTTAGGCCATCAATGTGTACTTACATTCACAAGTCATTAAATCATGTTTAATTTGGACTTCTCTGTGTGTGCTCTTTGAGGTGGACCCCCAAAAACTGCATTATAGGACTGACAGACAAGAACGGTGTGACCAAAAAATGTCAAAATTGAAATGCTGTGGAAACAAAGACACCTACGTCTTGGATGCCCTTGAGGTAAGCTAAAACATATCAAAATTAATTTCAAATTGAACTATCCCTTTAACAAGGTAAAACTGTATAAACTACAAAAAATATAAAAATAAAATAATCCCCAGTGAGCAGATTGCAGGACTATCATAAACGTAATGTTCATAACATTAGCCATTATTAAGACAGTTGGGAGCAGGTGGCATTCTGTTAGTCGGTGGACCCGTTAACAAGATTGCCACGCTGCAGAATCGATAACAGGAAATAACACTTTTAAACCTTGGGCCTATTGAGTAAAGCAACACATCTTTTTAAATCAATAGACCATATTAAAGTTCGATTTGATTGGATAACACAGTCTTGAATTGCTATTCTAGCAGGGTCTCTTTTAATGCCAGTATTATTTAAACTAAAATGATTTGTCAATTTTGTTTGCAAAATGGTGAAGATCATTTGGGGAAAACAAACATGACATCTTTTTAAACATTTATTTTCTGTTGCAGTCACACACATTACCTTCAGAGCTCTAAAGCTGATGTAAAACCTAACCACCAGACCAAACACTGCATATAAAACCATCAACTCAACCTCCTAGCTGATAAACACAAACAGGACATACCAGTCTGAAGGCACACACTGACATTGGCACATACACTAATTTCTGATAAAAACAATTCAAATAAATGACGTAATACCCCTAACCCTTACTGGGTAAACGGGTTTAAAAAAAAAAAATGACATAGAGGTTAAAGGACACCGCAGCAACTCAGTAACCTGACAAACATCGGCAGCACACCAATCTGATTAAACCTGTGTAGACAATTCTCATTTGTGTTTGCTTTTCAAAATCTGAACTTGTTTTAGATCATAGTGGAATCAATCAGTGTAGTGTCTCTGGTGGATTTTTACTGCAATGATAGCAGACTGGAAGCAGGGCAGCGTTCCTCACATCAACACAAACAACCTCCAGTTGTGCAGATACTTAAAGTTGAGCTAACATGATTTTTCTCGAAGGCTACTTCTGGTAGCAACTGTTGCGCTAAACTGATTGTGGCTCCAGAGGAAAACATGATTTAATTTTCCTGTGGGCAATAAAAGAACACGTAACCCTCAGTTTATAGATGCCAAAGAAAATAAAGGAGGGTCAAGCAGTATTGAAGACTTATTTCCTCGCTATTTTACCGGTACGAGTCAGATCATTTTCCGCAAAAGCCAACCTGTTTAGCCCACATGAAAACGTATTTGAAAATGTACTTTATAATCTACTTGATTCCAATATCAAGAAAAAAATGGTAGTTACACATATTTTCAATTTTATACTATCCTGTGATTTATCTTGTTAGAATATGAAGAATAGAATGGATGGTTTCTGAATTGGGTCAAATCACATTTATAGCTAAACTTACCATTAAATGGTGTTTTAAAGCAGGTTGTCTAATTTTAAGGCATGGAATGCAATTTTATTTTACAAAAGCAAAAAAAAACCCCACAAAACTATGGAAGCTTGTTTCCGCCACAAAATATAATTATTTTAAAAGATAATTGGCTTTATGCACAACTGCACTACTTCCTGAACTTAAGCCAGCTCCTTGTTCCCTGTCTTCCATTATTGGACAAACCTGATTAATTCAGGTGTGTCTGATTATTGTTGCCGTGACTACTGAGGTCAGGCACACCTGAATTAATCAATTTGTCCAATAATGGCAGACAGGAAACAAGGAGCTGACTTAAGTTCAGAAAGTATACAGTGCAGCTGTGCATAAAGCCAACTGCAACTTTTTCTCTGGCAATTCTGGCTTTATTTCTCAGAATTTAGATATAAAGTCAGAATTGCGTGTTAAGTTCACAATTCCATTTAAATTCCATATAAAGTCCATTTCTAAGGAAAAACTAAGGTTTATCTCACAATTTCGACTTTATAACACACAATTGCAACTTCATATCACGCAACTCTGACTTTATATAATGCAATCCTGACATTTTAACTCTCAATTGTGACTATTTCACGCAAGATAAAAAGTCACAATTGCGATGTAAACTCGCAATTGTGAGAAAAAAAGTCAGAATTGTGAGATATATTTTTTTTTTAATTCTGTAGCAGAAACAAACTTCCATGTGAACCTCTGGACAATTAACAAATATTTATACTCTTGATAAAACCCCATTAATTTTGTGTATGCTTCAAGCATTTATGATTTAAGGAGCTTAATTTAAGGCCATGTTTCATTTCACAGCCAGTTCAGTTTTTTAAAAGAAGATCGTTAACAAATTTGCTAGAAGAATAAATAAATAAATACAATGAAAAAACTGGAACTGGAAAAAAAAGATAGAAGCAATAGAGCAATATTGAGGCATTCATTACAAATGACCGTATTAGCAATCCAGCACATTCAAAGGACTTACTAAAATATATAAATATACATATATACTATATACACTTTAAAAGCAAAATATAATCGAAAGTACATAAAGTACCTGGATGCTTTACAGCAATAATCTACTTTTCTTTATTAAACTAAAATGAAACAGCTTGTCACCATGTGTAATAAAAATGTAACTGTGGCAAATCTTTGATAGTACAGTATAATTTTCAGCAGACATCACGCAAGTCACACAAACAGAATGTGACAGTAGGACTGGTTGACATTCTGCTTGATTATCTAATGCTGTCAGACCTTTTGCTTTTTCACAAAAATGAAAGGCCTGCGTGTATTTTTAAATGTGTTAAACTTACGTTCACTCAAATGCAAGATAACAGTAAAATCTCAGTTTGGCCTCTCAAACATCTAAATGAAAACAACAGCAATGCAATCAAAGAATGTACCAGATTCAATCGATACCAAACGTAAAAATTAAATTGGCCCGGTTTTAATTGGCCTATCATGTCCTGTAGCTGTTCTCTATAATATATGTGAACTGATTATGATATGAATGGCAACATTTTAAGGCCCATTTCAAGGTTTATCTGACTCAAACGCACCTTCACTAACGTTTACGCCTATGAAAAGACTTCAACAGGACCAATAGATATGAAGACCACACTTTCCTACCACCACAGGCAAACAATTAATATCCAGTACATATCTGTCCATTAAGTTACACTGAATGAATCTTTCATCATTTATCTTCTCAACTGCCTTTTCAGACTTTTGAATTGGGAAAAAATGACCATTGTTGTGTTGAATAAAAGTACAGTTAATATTTCCCTTTGTCCTCCTCTCTCAAATCGGTTTTTGAGTCGAATACAAGTGTTATCCATTTCAATAAGGCTGTTGGTTAGATATTTCACCTCTCCCACATTGAGAACAAACAGCGACAAGAACAACTTTGGTTTGCTTCAGAATAACATGACCATCACAACCACAGGACAGCATGGGACAGATATGGGACATTCTTACAAATCAGCATTGTGGTTTTCTTTAAAGTCATTTGTTTTCCTCTTTCATACAACAAAATAGATACTCTGGGTGACATACATGGCTGAGGGCTTTGAACTGATGAGGCCTATTCAGGGCTCTCAGGATCAAAATCGTCGCCCATTTGGTAGCTGGAGCCCTGGGTGGAGTAGGAACGGGTCTTCATTGAGCAGTTAGAGTCCATTAGAATGGCCTGAAAAAGACAGATATAAGAAACATCACCTCACAGCCTAGTATCTATACATACAAACAAAGCAAATATACTAAGGGTTTACATCGACTTACTCGGCATATACAGTATAAATTTACACAAAAATTATGCAGGAGACAATGTATCACTCGAATGTTGATTATAGATTTGTGTGCACAAAAGACCAGAAACTACGCATAATGTTTTTAGTGCTTCATTATGAAATCCCTTCCATCTCATTTGTATAAAGTAAAATGCTAATAATCCACTGTACACCCCCCGACCCAAAAAACAAATCTGATAAATTATAACAAATAAAAATGACAAATAAATTGATAATCAAATAAATAGAAATCAAATAAGCTAATAAAAATAAAATGTTATTGTAGCTATTTTTGGTCAATTTGAGAAATGTTTATTCACATTTTTATTTTATATACTTTAAGTGGTTTCCGCTTCCGCAGGTTTAAGATGATCAGAACTTTGACAGGATAAATAAATAAAGGATAATTCGTTACATTTATAATTCGTTACATTTATATAGCGCTTTTCTGGACACTCAAAGCGCTTCACATAGAAGGGGGGATCTCCTCAACCACCACCAATGTGCAGCATCCACCTGGATGATGCGACGGCAGCCATATTGCGCCAGAACGCTCACCACACACCAGCTTACTGGTGGAGAGGAGACAGTGATGAAGCCAATTGGTGTATATGGGGATGATTAGGAGGCCATGATGGACAGAGGCTACTGGGCAAATTTGGCCAGGATGCCGGGGTTACACCCCTACTCTTTCGAAAGACATCCTGGGATTTTTTTTATGACCACAGAGAGTCAGGACCTCGGTTTAACGTCTCATCCGAAGGACGGTGCTCTTTTTGACAGCATAGTGTCCCCATCACTTTACTGGGGCGTTAGGACCCACACAGACCACAGGGTGAGCACCCCCTGCTGGCCTCACTAACACCTCTACCAGCAGCAACCTGGCTTTCTCAGAAGGTCTCCCATCCAGGTACTAACCAGGCTCAGCCCTGCTTAGCTTTAATGGGCAACCAGTCTTGGGCTACAGGGTGATATGGCTGCTGGCGAAGGATGAGTATTTAATACGAGGATGAGTATTTAACAACAAAAACATAACATTACTGTCTCCATCAACGATCCTATTATTTAATACCCGATACAACCACTTGTGCATGACATCATCAATCGTGGGTGGGGCTCGTCTCATTCAATATGCCGCTGAAAGTGAGCGATGGTGGGTTTATTGCACTGTGTTTGAATGAAGCTTTGATAAAGAGTGCGTAAGCACAGAGGCGTACAGATCTGGCTTGTGTGTGTGTGTGTGTGTGTGTGTGTGTGTGCATGTTAGTGCTCTTCAGGAGCAGTGTAGTGCTCCTCTAGAGAGAGAATAACCATGATGCTTGGCTTTGATCACGCAGCATTTGAGGGCAAACGCACGAGTCTGTTCAGATCAGCATCACTCTTTGATCTTAGCTTAAGGGCAGTTTTTATTTGTATCTATTATGTAACAATTTTATGTTGCAGTCATATTCTATCAGGTCAGTGACTTGAAGTTAGGGATGAAATCAAAAGGAAAGCATATGTGAATGCCAGACAGAGAGTGAAATTACGATTATTATTTGGAATAATGCTAATGAAGAGAACATCAAAGATTATTTGAGAAAACTCAAATAACCATGTCTAAGATTGCACTTGCTTGTACTTGTTTTCATGCAATACATTATTTACAGTTAATTATATATTATATACGCTGACACTGAAGCAGTTGGACTATATTCACCAGAATCTACTAATAAATGCAGTATAATGTTTGTTTTACCAAACTGCCCATCTGTTAAAGGTAACATGGATGCTTTTTTACTTTAATGCATTGTCCTGGACTTTTTGTAAATTATTAATTGGCGCACGGTAATGTTTGTCTTTGTAATATTAATAACTTGCTATGACTTTTTGAGTATGTTGGCTATTTAAACATTGTATAAACAAACATGCATTTGTTGTTCTAATGCATCTAATAAATTCCCTTCAGATACAATTCAATCCCTACATTTTTTTCTCTTTGAGTATCCTGTTTCACTTTGAAATATGTTACATTTTGGGAGTAAATGGGTTGCAAATTTAAATTTACTCAGAAATATGGAAACGGAAAAAAAGCATATCAGCTATAACACTAAATAACCACTTGGACGTTTAAAAGTGAGTAGATTGGAATGAATGTGGTTTTGAATTGATGAATGACATATAGTGGGGTCTGACCATCTTTTCCTCATTGGCAGGAGGATTTCGCAGGAAGTAACAGAGAGGAGCAAACAGGATGTCTATAACACCAATGATGGTCATGAGCCAGGGGAAGCCGATGCTCCGCGCAATCGCTCCGCCAGCGGATGGACCTACACAGCAGACACGAGTGTTAAATTCCAAGTTGAAATTAAAATTAATTCATGAAAACTAATGAAATAATTTAGGATGGATCCAACATAATTAAAATAAATTATCATTTGGTTTATTACCTAAAGCGAACCCCATGCAGAAGGCAACATCAGCAATGGCGTAGACACTACCGTACACAGACACGTGCCTCAGATCCACAAGGTAACCCATGATAGGCATCATCGAAGAGTCCACCATACCTGCAAACAACAAGATATAGACTATTTCTTACAATGGGTCTGATGTAATGGAAAATAATTCCATTAAAAATAATGGGGTCTCGTCTCCAAATCAACATCCCCTTAATTCTGGCTTTTCTTAAGTCCAGCTGGGCCTGGGTCTCGTCTCCTAATCGACGTCCCCTAACGTTTAATATATCTGTGTTTGGTTGTTCCCTGGGTTAAACACTAGAGGTCCTCAGTTTTCATGGTGTCTATGCATTCTCACTACTATTCCCATGATCCTGTCTGTCACTGATTGACTGTTCATTGCCTTACAGCTGTTTCTTGTCACCCTGTTAGCACTTGTGTATACCCCGTCCTGTCTGTTTCAGTGTTTGTCACCCTGTATATTATTTGAGCCCTTGTATATTGTCCCCATACTTCCGTTGTCTTTGAGCATGTTTCTAGTGTTTGTCTTTTATGTTTTTGGATTTTGACCTTTGCCTGGACTGGTTTAGCGTGTGAATTATCCCTTAATAAATATTGCTATTGGATCATACGTTTCCTGTGTGTGAGTATCGTGACAATCTGGGTCTCCTAACTGACTTGCTGTGCAGCATAAATGACAGACAAATGTCCTCTAAATACTTTAATCATGGTGGGAGAGTTCTTGAGCAATTCTCAAAGAATCTCCCCCAAGAAGAAGCATTAAACATGGCCAGGGCATCTTAGACAAATTCCATTGAGAATCCCTCCAGTTAACACGGATACAACAGTTTTTATAGAATAGGGAGGTATGGCAAAATTACACATTTAATTGGTTCTTCATATGCAAACCCTTCTGTTACTAGGTAGAGCAAACTTTGTTTTAATGATTACTTCATTGTTAATCACAAGGTTCTAACCTAGTCATCTGTCAACTTAGTCATTCATTTCCAATATATGTTATTTTACACTCAACAGGGGTATGGCCAACAACAGTAAAAAAACAGAGGAGAACGTTTTAGCACATGGTGTTTTAAAGTGTTAGTATGTTAGATAAGGTTAGATGTTAGAAACATGGTTAGTTTAATATTCCGTTTCAAATTTCCATCACACAAGCAAGCAGATGAACCCAGAATTTAAGTCATTAAGCGTTTTTCCATAGAAAACCATTATAAAGAAAACAATGAACCATTTGGCCAATTGCACTTATATTTTAGGCTCATCTGCTCACCTGTTTATAAAATGCATTACACTGTAAATAAGGTGTACACTGAATTTAATCTTTTAAAGGTGCAATTTGTAAAAATGTTGAGTAGCCTATCTATTAACAGAAATGCAATTTGACATCCATAACTATGTTTTAGTGGTGTATAAAGAACTTACTTAATAAACCGTAATGTTTTACCTTAGAATGAGTCATTTATATCTCCATAACCGCAGGCACCCCCATAGATATCATATAGAGACTAGATTCCCTACTGGCCGCTGGGCACTGAGAAATCCGACCGCCGACTGCCATAGCACCAGCAGATGCCAGCGCACATATTCCTGCTCAAATCGGCGGACTATCGCTCGGGAATTACTTTTCACAAGTAAGATTTAAGATTTAACATTAGCGTACTATTGGTTGTATTTTGTGAATAAAATATCCCATGTTTGTCCACATATTTGTATTTGTATTCTTCTGAGAAGTGATCTAAATATTCGTGGCTTGAAACAGATGGAAAATTGACCAGGTCGGTGCTGCAGTTCTATGGATGTTTTGCCCTCCAGGTCTTAGTGCCCGTCATGTGACTGAAAACTATGAATACTTGTATTAAGACTCACCTATTGCGAATCCAACTCCAAAGTTAGGCACAATGAGTCCATATATGTCTTTTGCAAAAGGCACCTGTAAGACAATTAGAAGAGCTCAATAAAGGGCGTACCTCATATTTCTTTAACATATTATTGATTATGTGAAAACACCAAATACAGTAAAACATTATGTAGAGCATCAGAATAGAGGTTTCTCCATAAGCAAAACTCCAAATGTGTACTTGACTCTTATCTGAACTTGTTTTCCAGACTAATCTGATAAACATCTATAAGAGAACAGACTGTCTTCCTACTAAGCAGGATGTGTCCAGGGCAAAGAAAGTCAAAGCTCTTTAATTTCAAAATAAACCTTCTTTCCAGCTCTCAACAAAGCTAGTCGGCAACAAAATATGTTAGGCTTCTGTAATCCACAACACTGGTAAAAATACAGAAAGATAGGGAGTTGAAATATTCATGTGTTGTGTGTTCTCTGAGAAAAGTTAATCTCGACATGGATTTAGTCTATTACAACTTACACAGAGAATACTGACTCCAACCAGCAGCATCCCTATAAGTGAGCACAGCCATCTATAGAGAGAGAGAGAGAGAGAGAGAGAGAGAGAGAGAGAGTAACAATGTTAGTTTGTTTGACCCTTTTTGGCTGATGAAAGTGACCAAAGCAGTTTATATAAAAAAATATAAACACACCGACATTCAAAGTGTACATTAAATACATTTTATGTGACAAAAGATTTTTGTTTCAAATAAATGCTGTTCTTCTGAACATTCTATTCATCAAAGCATCCTGAAAAAATCCTGAAAACACATAAATATAAAGCAGCACAGCTATTTTCAACATGAATGACTGTTTCTTGAGTACCATATTATTGCATATTATTGTAGAATGTCTTCTGAAGGATCATGTGACACTGAAGACTGGAGCAAGGATGAAGAAAATTCAGCTTTGCATCACAGGAATAAATTACATTTCTAATATATATTTAATAGAAAACGTCTCGGTTACGAATGTAACCCTTGTTCCCTGAGTAAGGAACGGAGACGTTGCATTGGATGACGACGAATGGGGTTTCATGTAGTAAATGTTGAAATTAACATTAACTAAGATTAATAAATGCTGTAAAAGTATTGTTCATTCTTAGTTCATGGTAACTTAGGAAGTTAAAGGGATACTCCACTTTTTTTGGAAATAGGCTCATTTTACAACTCCCCCAGAGTTCCATTCAGCCGATTTTCTGATATTTAGAAGAATATCAGTAACCAGACCGTTTCTGGTCTCATTGACTTCCATTGTATATTTTTTTCCTACTATGGAAGTCAATGAGACCAGAAACTGTCTGGTTACTGATATTCTTCTAAATATCAGAAAATCGGCTGAGTGGATTCAAAAACGGTAAAACACAACTGTTTAACTCTGGGGGAGTTGTAAAATGAGCCTATTTCCAAAAAAAAGTGGAGCATCCTTTTGACTAATTAACCTCATTGTAAAGTGTTACCAATAAATCTTACTTGAATGGTAAAATATATGTATATATATATTATATTATAAAAAAATATATATATATATTATAAAAAAAAAATTGGACCCTGCAGGCAAGACATATTATGAAAATGGTACACATGCATACACCGTCTTATGGTTCATAATAAGCAAAGTGTATACAATAAATAAACAAACAGTATGCTAAGACTGATGCTTAACACAAATACAAAACCTGGCGACAGAAACTCATTTAGAGCTGTTTCAAAACAGAGGAAGCTGATATCAGAGCGTAGGAAGATAAGGAAAGAGAAGTAGGGGAAAAAACACATTAATTTCCCTTTCCTACCTCCCCATTTTGTGAGCCAAAACGGCGAAGATGTTGGTCCCTATTAGATATGAGATGCTGGCTGGCACGAATGCAACCCCTAAAAGGAGAGAGGAGAGAAAGAGAGAGAGAAAGAGAGGGGGGAGAGCTCAGATAAGACAACACAATATCAGTTTGATCTCAAAGCTGCTGTTCGTCTCACAGACGCTGTTATGAAGCTGCTTCTTTCATTCTCCCGCTCCTTCTCTTTCATTAGCTTTTGCTGCTTTTCCCTTGCCTGCCAATGACAACTCAATATCCTGCCAGACCAACGACACTCCCTTGCTAGCCCTCACTCTCCCTGGTTCTCTGCTTTCTTTTGTCTTTCTTTTTATTATCTGTCAAATCTTCATAAACAGCAGGAAAACCACGGAGAAACCCAGAAGACGCTAACTGTTTAAATTGTATTTTACAGTCTGGAGTGTGAAGGGCTCTATAAGGAGAAAAAGAGTTTACTTGCTTTAGTACTTTTTCAGTAACACTTTCCAGTAAGTTTCATTTGTTAACATCAGTTAACTGCATTAGTTAACATGAACTAAGAATGAACAATAATTCTACAGCATTTATTAATCATTTACTAATACAATATTAAAATTTAAACTGTGAGCCGTGAACAAACACAGACATGGTTACAGTATGAACTAATATTAACAAAGGATAATAAATCCTGTACAAATATACTGCATTGATCATTGTTTGGTTATGTTAATTAATGCATCCATGTTAAAAATTGAGACCTTAATGTAAAGTGTTACCAGATTGTAATTCAGGAATTCTGTGGAGAAAAATTGTGAGTTTCTAGATAATGTCTGGCAGATAATCCCTTCACTCACAAAGCTGTAGAGATACTTATAATTTATTTATTTTATAATGTAGAGATACTGGTAATGTATTATTCTTAATACTTATTAGCAATTATGTAAATCTCACTATAAGAAATTGGTGTCATAAATGAATAAATAAAAAATGTGCAATAAGAACACTAAATTTTCGTACATTTTGCATATTTTCAATATTATTATAATGACAAAAAATAGAGACATTTCACCCTAAAATTCTCATTACCACATTAAAACTTGAATGAACATAAAAACAATAATGAAAATTTGCATTAATAAAGTTCAGTAAAGTAAATACTAATATGATGTTTACCTACAACAAATTTGCAATTATATAATATTATCTTTTGCATTATAGCAGGGTTTCCAAACTGGGGTTCGTGAGTGAACTGCAAGGGGTGAACTGCAGTTGAAAATAAGCTAATAATTAATTATAAATTTAATATAAATAAATACATTTTTAAAATATAAAATATAGTCAAAATAAAATATATTTTTCTGTTTTTGTAAAAAAAATTCTAAATAACCACTTGGACATTTTTCTTGATATTCACTCTCTTTAGCGTGTGCCCTGCTAACTTAACATCAATGTACTAATACATAAAACATACTTTGTCTATCTTTCACTGTAAATTATAACTTATTTTCCATCTTCCAAAAGTGACTATTTCTTTGCAAGGACAGGAATTGAAGAAATGTGTAAGTGTGTACATTAACAAGAGGCAGATTCTCCAACCTAGCTGCCATTTCCTAGGACACATCGTCTCCATCATCCAGATGGGCAGAGCCGGCTCCAGCATAGCAATGGCCATGTTAGCAAAACAAATGGAACCTGAAAAAGAAAATGAGGAGGGTAAGTGGATTCATTCTCTGAAGAATTCTCTCTTTCTGTCCCCCCTCCGTCAGAGCCCATTTTTGTCCTTTCTCAGATATAATAAAGAGCATCATCTTGCCCCTGCACTCAGGCCACTGTAATTGGAGAAGAGGGGAGGCAGAGACAAACACAGATGTGTTTCATGACCACTTCACTCTCTCTCTCTCTCTCTCTCTCTCTCTCTCTCACACACACACACACACACACACACACTTTCTCATCCTTCTCTCACAGAAAGATAACCCTCTTTATTGTGTCACAACCCCAAAAGCACAACCAGTGTCACACATGCGGTCAAATAATTGACTAAATCTTTCTTTACGTGTTTCCAAACACACACATTATTCACAAAAACATTCACCTTTGAACAGATAATATGAATGTAAGCATAAAGTGTGGTTTATGCATAGATACTAAGGTTTGCAATTTTTATAATATTCCTAACAGTAGGAATTAACCGTTTATTTGTGTTTACTGGCCTGACCTGCTGCGATGAGGATGTAGGGATCCTTCATGAGGGTAAATAGTGCAGTTCCTTTTTGGTTCTGGTAAAAATAAATAAAAAATATTTTCATTAAAATACAGTTTCGAAAATTACAAAGACATTTCCTTGAACATCAATGTTCCAATGGAAAACACCCATGGGGAAAACACAGTCAACATCAAATGTTCTGGTAGTCACCCATTTATTCCTATGGGGAAAAACAAAAGAAATGTTCTATAGATTTTTGCTATTCTGTATCTGAATTGCAGAATACCACACAAAACTTCCAACAATGTTTTTTTTTTATTTTAATTAAAGCCAAATATGCTGTTTTAACATGTCTACTTTCTTTATTAATTTATTAGGATATATATTATGTATTTATTTGTGGTTGATCTCATCCATTAACAATCCAAGAGGTCAGGCACATTTGTAATAAAGGGATGTACTTCAGTGCATATAATGCCATTTGAGAAACATCACCCTAGTCACCACAGCGGTTCCAATGGAAATGGGCTACTTGAGATCACACAAAACAATATATGTAATTCCCTATACGCGGCCTGTTCCCTTTTTGACACCTCTAAGCGATTAGTGAAAAAATCACAGACAACTTTGTGAGTGACAAAATATACCAGGCCTAACTCTATATATTGATGTGGGAATTGTGGCATCTCTCGTGCAAAAGTCAAGGCTACATTTACTGAAGGGAGTGAAAGATTTCAGAAACAACTTTAGCTATGACTGTTTTGTCAAAAGAAAAATAAAGCTTATCAGTTAGACTTTTTTTTTTCAACATGTGATTAAAATATGACGAGTATAACTTTCTTCAATGTTAAAATAGTAGTGTCACACTTCAGCTTTAAATGTGACAATATATTTTGGATATTTCTATCATAACAGTGATTTGGAAGAAATGTCCGTAATGACTTTTCCGGAGTAGTCACCAGGCAACGACTGACAAGTACTCCCCTCATTAAATCAGCACTTCTTTACTCCACTTCAGTGCACATACTGCTCCTCTGTGGTGTGGACATGTCATCCCACTCAAAACACCGTCACATTCAGTTGTACTGCCCTGCGAATGCTCTCATTAATGATCACAGGCCCCAAACAATTAGTTGTCAGACACTGCTGTTCTTCCCCATAATCCTGTTGGATATTGACACTCGAGGAGGCTACTGGTTTAATGATCTGTCTTATCATAACTATTGCCTGATGGCCAAGCATTCTCAATTTGATTGATTATTTGAGATGACAGGTACATCACCTTCTGGCCATAACTGTGCTATGATGATAAAAGCAAGTGACCTTTTAACAAATGTCACTCAGTCATTTGAAAATATAAACATTATGTCACATAATTGACCATGTGAGAGCTTTTCTTTGTCAGTGTATATTAAATTAGTTGAGAGCCTGCAGAACCTGCAGAAGGACAGCCTTTATGAGCCGGTGGCATTAGCACTCTAATCTTTTTGTTCTTTTCCAGAGCAAAATGTGTAGCTTCACTTGACTTGATTATTGCTCTTTTACATCACTTCACATTTTACATCAACTGACAGATATGTTAGATAGCAACATTTGCCTTTAGTTTTTTGTTTAGGCTTATTTATTGCTGAAAAACAATGGGTTAAATTCTTCATTCCTCATGAAGGATGACAAAAAAAAACAGATCACCCAAAGAAAAGTAGCTACACAAACAAACACACACACACACACACACACTGTAGGGGCACTTGGGGTCTCCCTAGTAACTGATACCCATCAACACCACTGATCTAAGTCAGACATGTTTTGATTGGATCAGCCATTCAGTTGTACAATTTCCATTACTGTGACGCAAACCAAGGCACACATACACATTACTCTTAATACACCGACACTCTACACACATTGCTTTCAACATGCAGTACAATCTACACAAACATACACTGTAATCCATATAATCTATGGTTTTGAGGTTTAAAAATACACAGCATGAGAGACCCAAACTCCCCTTGAAAATCATTTCTGTTACTGATAAGATTAGAGCAATCACAGTACTTGCACATCATCCCCAAAGCTTCTCCCATTTTGTGCCCACAAGAGGAATACCATGTAAAGATTCAGTGGGCATCTTGCTGAGGTTACATTTCCCCATTAAGGTAACAAACATCAGCCCTTATAAAACTGACCCCAAGTCATGATTAATAAAATAGGCTGTGGTGATGTATTGCTGAGTCATAGTAAGTCTCGTGCTCCGGATATTAGCCCAATAAAAGACATTTTGAGTCCCAAAATATCAATGTAGACAGTGTTTTAACAGTGGAGTTTTAAATCCAAGTTTTTTTCCAAGTAATTTTCTCTCCCACAAATCCTTCCAAATGCAGAGTTTGACCTTAAGGTGATTGTTTACCTACAGTAATACTATAAAGTACATCACTTCTTAAAGGGAGAATGTGTACTTTTTATGTATTTTATTATTTAAAATCAATATTTTTATTCATAAATATGTCCTCAACGGTGTACAAATACCTCAATGGTGTACAAGTAAACAAAGTATTTATTATCTGTATACACATGAGACGGGTAGGTTAAGGAGGCTTCCATGCAGTTACTCCATCTTGAAAAACTATAATAGCAGAGAGGGACAAAAAGTACTAGGCCAACGCGTTTCAAAAAGCAGCAGAAACGGAGGAGCAGAGCAGTGAGAGAGTGAGAGGCGCTTTTCACTGCCTGGCATAAAGTCCAAAATAGATCGTAAAAGGAAACGTGACCAAAGATTACAAAAAACAAGGGTTCATTTTGGGATAGGTTTGTCAAAAGAGACGCTGAAATCCTGCTTTCTTCTCAATAGGTAAGTCAGTGTTACAGTCTTAATTGCAAGCTTTTTTTCATTGTTTGGTTCTTAAAAGTATATGATGATATCTAACAATGCACGTACATTAGAAAATATACGCATAACTACTTATTAAAATAGTTCATGTTTTTTCACAGTCAGTAATTCATACTGTAACATACGTTTGTTCGTTGTGTTAAGTTGCTGTTTTTTTTTAAATAACAAACCTGTTAACCCGAAGGAACACTCGACTCGAGCTATTAGAAGACATCCTGTCATAGCTTTTTGTTACATAACGGCTACCGTAGATGCAACGCAGATTTGAAAAAGCGAGGCGCTGGAGAGCACAATTCGTTTGAGTGCAAAATACATTTTCTCAGCTACATAGGAGAAATTCCTACACATTGTCCCTTTAACCCTTAAAAACTGGTGTTGAAAAACAGATGGTTAGATCAGATCAGAAAAGAAGGTAATGTACTCACCTCTGGTTCAACTTTCGAAGGTTGAAGCACAAATAGCTGCAGAGCTGCTCATGAAAATGAGGGGAAAACGCACACATCAGATATGAAGCAAATATTGTTGAGCATCAGAAACTCTTTTAATTCCACGTGTATCACAATAACATGAAGGTTTAAGACTGATTCCGTCATTCCCATTGTGTTGAAATGTTGGAGAGATTGACTCACTCACCTCCATCGAGCACCGCCAGCACTGCCAGGATAAGGAAAGGAGCCGTCTTACCGACAAACTCATACATGACACTGCCAAACGGAGGGCCAACTGCACAACATACACACATATACAGTATATATTAGTCACGATTAATGGCTCACAGACTGCAAGCACTGCACTTCAAACTTAGAGTCTTTACTTTGAAAACGTTGACGTTGCCAGTATGCTTTGAATTATCAGATGCCACAAATCCAATACTAATTGCTCTGCAGAACAGGTTACATAATCAAGGGTAGCAAAGCACAGTAATAAAAAATAAAGTGTTCTGCAGGAACACACCCATTTTTCTGAACTTTCTGGATGAATACAGTTTAATAGGTTAATAGGCTCTTGATTATAGTACTGTATGTGCACACTTTAATGACGACTGACACATTTAATCACATTTAATTGCTGTTATCCAGTGGATCAAGTACATTTTTAGTGATTTACTTGCCATTATGAATAAACAATGATCTATCAAGGATTAAACATCCAGTAACAGTGGTTAAAGCATGACACCATTTACAGGAAGGACCAGGTTCAGGCCCCACTCTTCTGACCATTTCTTCTGACCGCTGCTTCTTTAAAGAGGGCACTTAAAGTTAACTGACAATTTTTAACTCAGAGCTTAACTTATCTCATTTTTTTCTCTGTATGTGCTCAAAGGAGTAAGATTAGAATTAGGACTTGGATCACAATCTCCAGTGGTCCCTGTGCAAACCAAGTATGGCAGAATTTGGATCCTAAACATAAAGTACACACCCAAAACTCCCATGGCTAGTCCTCCTAGAGCAATCCCTATAGCATTTCCTCTTTCCTCATCATCGGTGTAAACACTTGCCAGCATCCCCATACCTGCATTACGACACAGAAAAAGTTACAGAGGGTAAAGGTCAGCCACAAAGGGTAAAATGTCCACTAGCTCAGTTCAAGAGAGATGGTAACTTAAAGAGATTATATCAACCAAAAAAATGATTTTGATTTCTTTTGCTTTTTCTCATAAATTGATTCCTCATGATGTCAGCCCTTTAAACTCACAAAATAAACTCAATCAATTATGAACTGTACAATGAAAGAACTACTCAGGAGTTGCAAGAGTCGGTTATAGTGTAATCTAGATCCAAGGCTGTACACATCTTTCAATGGAAGCGGGGTCCATTGTACACCGGCACCTGAACACCATAACATTAACAGTGGCTTTATGCATGCAGAGTACTGAGAACATCAAAGTCAAATGCAATTTAGTGCACTCAGGTTTACAAATTGTGCACTAAATAAGGAATCATAAGACATTACATTGTAGCTTTTCACAGCATCCTTTTGAAATCTAACGTAATGTTGCACAGAATCTGTTACCTGCCACAGAAGAACAGGAAGAGCCGACACCTTGTAGAGATCTGGCCAAAAACAGCAACGCATAGCTCGAGGAAAATGCAAACACTTCACACAGAGTAAAACACACACAGAAGAAAGAGGAAAAGAAGATTTATTATAGAAATATATCACACCGAATCATTTAAAATCATGCATTGCATAAATATATGGCTTCTTCTCCACCCATAAAGACACTTAGATGTGAGATTGATGTTAAAAACAACACTAGAAACTGTATGTACTCACTGAGGGTAGAAAGAAACATGATGCAGAAACCAGCAAACATGGGGATCTGGTAGCCTATTCTGCAATTACAGATAAGAAATGACATTTTAACATTTTTTTTTTACCACAAACATTGAACTTGAAGTGACGAAGCTGTGTTGTTACATATTGCAGTGCTGGCATCTCTCTTAAGTAAAATTAAGATGTAATTATATTATCTTATATATATATATATATATATATATATATTCATTTTTTGCCTCTGGTTCGTGTCTTTTGAATTAATTTAACACTTTGTGTATCACTAATAGTCCTGCACATTGCTACTAAATATTACGGCTGACTGATCTCAGGAGTTTACAAAACTCTAGATGGATCTGTTCAATGCAGCGGTGCTGAATTACCGATAAACTGGACTGGCCAAATCTCAGCATGTGGAGAAGGGGTGACAGGGCATGCACGAGTGATCACACAACTGCTGGTCGCTGAACAGCAGCAGAAAAAGAATTGCACTGCAATATTCGCTTTACTTACACTCCATTTACACTCACTGCACACACAAATATCATGCAATCTCATGCTCCTTTTGAAAGAAATGCTATTTGCTATACTTTCAAAGTTAAATGTGTGTTTTGCCATAACACACCTGTTAGTTAGGGGCCCTATGAAGGGGTTAGTGATTAGCTGTACTGTTGCTTTAGAGGCAAACAACAGACCCACTCTCACATTCTCGTTCAAAAGCTGGTCATCTGCTTTGGGGCAGTCTGACCGATTTTGAGGAGGTGTCCCAAAAGTAGGGGCTGGGGTCACTGGGCCAGCATTGCTCATCTGCGGGGTGAAGCCAGTTAGGCGTGTTGTGTTATCGTACAAAGACACAATGCTCTGGAAGGTGCCAGATGGGGAAAGAGGGGACATGGAGTTATTCCGGACCACCTGAGCAGCCTCGTCATCCACGGTGTACAGGTAGCTTGGAATAATAGGCACTACAGAGAGAAAAGATAATATAATAATAACCAAGAGAGATTAAACAGATTTGTTCAAACATGGTCTTAAATTATATCCTATAATACTTTTGAGGTTTCACAGTTAAGTAAGCCAACTTTGTTCTACTCTTAAAAACGTAATATTCAGGAAATTACTTTATTACTTTATTAATCAGTTTTAGACCGCTTGAAACGCTGTTTACCAACTACCTACCATTTGCCTGAAAAAGTGAAGTGCTGTTTACGATTTATCTAGCTGTGTTATTTAAACCCCATTTGACCTTTCAGGTGCGTCCGTTAAATGCGTTTGACATTATCCTGTGTAAATAACCCACAGGGACACCGTGTGCGACAACGCTCGAAAGACTCTTCATTCAACACTTGTGCCAAAGAGCGACGACGGGTTCAGTTTTCGCCTGGTTCCATCTGTATGTACACAAACATCAAATTCAACGTTCCCGTTTCTTGGCTCGCGGACGTGAGAACAAACACAGACAGTTTAACGCGCGTCACTGTCACATTTAATGAGAGAGCGCGGGCAGATGGAGCAGTGGCAGCGCTCGAGGACATGATCCCTTAATTCAGATCAACTGCTGCCACTGATGCAGCAGACAATTTACACTTTACAAGGGGAAATAAACGTTTAGTATAGATAAACACATTTATTTTCTATCATAAGCGTATTAGCAGATGTATCATTTTACTTGATGCATTTTTTTCGAGCAAATAAAAGTTTTTGAAATATTTTAAAACAAACAATTAGCCTAATTTAAATTATACTGCAAAATTGCTTATTATATATATATATATATATATATAGAAGACCCACCCTAATTTATAGAGAATTTATAGAGAAATAACTGATAGTTTTAATTGCGTTATTTTATTTCTATCCACTCAGAATTGGTTTTTGCCCAGTTTTCTATTTTGGCAAAGAAAAAGAAAAACAGACGCGTGCAGACGTTTGAGTTTCGCTTGTAGGATTCACAATTTTACAATGTACAATTTCTAGGCTAATAACAATGCATATATCAAATTAAATTGTAAGGCACGTGAAAAGCCTTTTACATATATTTTTTATTCATTGTGTCAGTAGACTAATAAGCCTAAGTGATCATATATTTGATCACAAAAAACAGCGTTTGCCTATAGAGTGGTCCCAGTGAGGGATGTTGACTTTGCATCATATGTGCGCCTTCACATGTAACAGGTGTGAGCAACATGTAGCACTTACCGACCACCGTCAACAGCATGTTGTCCAACAGCAAAGCAATGAAAACGATGAACAGAATCAGCCTCCGAGACTGCCTTTCTTCTCTTAGCCATGTTAATAAACTAAAATCTCTAAGAGCATCAAATAATCCCATTTTTTATTAAATCCAATTGCCAGAGAGCGAGCAAGAGATCCTGCAACAGCAAGAAAATGACTGTCAAAAATCACCGAAACATAAAAAAATAGGCTGTTTAGTGATACTGTGAAGATGTAACTTCAGGTGACGATTCCTAATATGAGATAAATATGTCAAATATCAAAGTAAAAATAAAATACGTTAAAAAGATATTCCCTAAAGCTTTCTGAAAACAATAAACTACCAACAATATTGTTTTCTTTTTTTTGTCATGCTTTTTCTGGGTCTAAGTATTGTAATGAATAATACATTCAGTGTGGTTTTAATTCTTACCTTATGAGCACATTTGCTTTGAGCTTTGCAGTCAGATCCCGGGTGAAAGGCACGCTGGATGGATGCGTTGGTTGCTCGACTGCTGTTTGACGTCACGCTGTTTCACAGAGAACTCAAATGGGCTGTGCTGCTGAGCCACGGACGAATAAACCGTCACACAAAAAGAAGAAAGGCGGGAGCACTTTATTCAGCCTATAATAACTTCTACTTAATTTCATATCTACATAGCCTGTGCTTAAAATCTTTTCAAAGTTCTGCAGTTCTTTAAACAACAAGTGGCGCTCACCGCATCTGGACGTCATGGGTTGAGCTTGACCTTGTCCAGCACCTCTGTGTGTGAATAATGGGCAGAGAGGGACAGACAGAGTTAGGTTGGGGTTAGGGTGTGGTTGGTTGGACCTTCTAGCTCCACCTAATACGCCCACATTACATCCAGAGATATCAAGGCTATATGTTAATATTAATATGAGGCAAAAAAGTCCCCACACGGTCGTTACACGTGCTTTAACATTGCAATGATGTTGTTTTAGCCAGCTTGACTAGCGTTAGGAAGTTATTAACAGAGGGAAATTTGCAAACTGTTGATGAGTTTAACATTAGAATCGGTCGGATATCAAGTTGTTATTACGCATTTGGGTGAAATTAGCAGCCTTCTCTTCTTTCAACCGTTTTACAACAGCGTCATCTTGTGGCGTAGGGTGATATGGGATGTTTACATTTGCATTTGAAAGATGTTTTTGTCTAATTTGTCTTACAGAGGAAGGGTGTATTTCATATGATCATATGTGTTGATAGGACACATGATTGCTCAAACTAGTACCTAGTATTGCTCTAATTTGTACCTTGAATGCAATACAAGTCATTTTGGATAAAAGCAGCCAAATGCATACATGTCAATGTGTTTTTTTGCGAATAAATCCTTTGACTTTGGTGCAGTTAGCACCAGCTCAGGAAAATCACATCCTTTATTATTCTTCAAGAGAGATGGATGCAGATAGATAGGGCTATTTTTGCAAACAGGAAAAGCAACTCATCAAATGGCACTGAAAGATTAATTTATTCACTTGGTTTCAATGTGACTGATCAGTGGATAAGATTACATTTCACAGGCAATGTATTACATATATTAAATCATTCATTTACTAGATTTTGTATTAGTAAATAAATTAATTAGAGAACATATTCCATTCTTTATTATTTGCCATTAAATAAACGAACAAACACTGGACTATATCATCATATTTTTGTCAGATATATTATGAATTATATGGTTATAATTATAAATGTCAGGAATAAATGGATTTACTATTGACTTACAAGTGCATTTCTGATAAGTTACAAAAAATGAACAATGTCTCATGCAATTTTCCAAATATAAACATTGAAGTGATACTTTTTTGGGGGCTCAAATAGTAAACAGGAGTGCATTCATCATTCTGAGTCTACTTGTTCATCACAGTTTTATACTGCAGCACTGTAGTCCATTACCCTTCAACCCACTATATCAAACTGGCAGTGAAAGACATTACCATCTTGTGCTGAGAGTGGTTTTGCTTTCCTGTAGTAATTTCATATGCCATTAGCAAATCCACAAAACCCCACTACCTTCAGTTACTGTCTAGGTCTTTGTGTATTCCTATCTTGCCCATACTAAGAAACTTTAAGCACCGCCTGTAACAGCTAATAATTCGTGATTGGCCGAGTTTGAAGGCCATGCTCATGATGGCCATGCCCATGATAATAAACAAAAAAGTAACCATGAAGTACTTTGGGTGTTTAGGCACAATATCACCAAATCCAATGGTGGTCAAGGTGATAAAGATAAAGTAAAAGGCATCAAAGTCGTTCATCTGTGTCTCCCAGAATCTCAAAATTTGACTGCAGACCACCATGTATGCGAACACCACCAGCAAGATGACCAGCAGAGGGACGTTAAAGTGATTCATCTTCTCTCCGATGTCGGTGAATAACTTGGAGCTGTTTATTGGGGAATCCATATGGTCAAGGTCTGAGCATGAGAAGGATTTTGTCATAGAGTCCTTGACCCTGAAGCTCTCCTTAACGATAATGCGGTCAAAGGTCTCTCTGTTGTTACGAACCTTTAAGGATGTGCGTCTGAAGGAAGACTGGGTTCTTATCACCTTCTGAATGTTCATTGTCTCATGCACCACAACATGGTTGAACGTATAGGTGCTGTCAGTATCATCACCTTGCACCTGTTGGGGAGGTGGTGACTTTTCATGCCTTTGAAGGCTCCTTGAGCAATGTACCATACATTGTCTTAAGAACAGGCTGAGGCGAGTGTACGCTTCAGAGAGGAGAATTGCTAAGATATCGCCCGCATCTGAGATGACCAGCAGCATGAGAGGGATGCCCACCATCGCGTACAGGACACAAGCCACCTTCCCTTCATGGGTCACTGGATACATTTGTCCATAACCTGTTATAAAAAAAACAGAGAACTGCAGGACTGAGAGTTAATTTCACTCATTAGACAACACGTTTCAGTACTGCCATCTGCTGAAGGACTTTATCAGTGCATGGATAATGCAATTGCAGTGCAAATACTGTGTTTAAGCAAAGGAACAGGTATGTACATACAACAACACAAATAAAAGTAATATTATATTCTTAAGTGGATTATTATATTCACTATTATTGATAATAAAATAATTAATATTATTACTGATAAGCAACAACAACGTATTATTAATTTGACATAATTAGTAATTATTTTTATTATTAGATTATTAATTACATTATTATTATTTAAATAATGCGATGATCTAAAAAGTGGTTCTCATGGCAATAAATTTAAGATTTTTATTAGTTGTTTTCAGTATGTTACATGATTGCTATATTTTATCCTATCAAGTATTTTTCTATGAAGTTCAATAACCATGCACGTTTTGCTGTCAAATTTTGTCCAAGTACCAAAACCAAAAAAATTCAAACCAATTGAAAATATTAAGTTGTTCAACCTGGAAAATAATCTGTAATAATTTTGTCAGAGGACAAATGGGCAAAACAAGTGTCAGAGCTGCTGATGTACAAAAAGAGTACACAGAGAAAGAGAAATGAACCCAGTCAACTCATCAGTCTCAGCTGCTTTAAAAAAAACTATATTCATTAAGGTTAGCTGAGATGATCAAATACGCCCTTCCTAGATAACATAATGGATATCCACAGCAACAGACTGCTGCGTTTGGCACTTTTGCATTATGCTTTTCTACAAGATGTCATGAAAGATAGAAGTTTATATTCAATTAATATCTGAGCTGTGGTTAGCTGTGATTTACAATTAGGGTTGAAAGGGACTAAGGGAGAGAGATTTCTTCCACTGTCATGAGATTAACAACGGAAATGTGCCACTGGTAGAAGATAGAAAAGTCCTGTATCCATGAGATTCTGTTTAATAAATCATGATTTTACATAATGGTTTATTGAAAAAAGTTTCACTTGTTTTGGATTAGCCTGTAAATCATTTGTCCATTACTCTGCCCCATCTATATTGCTTGAAAACTTGTGTCCCATAACATTTTGATTATTCAAGGACTTTATTAGATAGGAAAATGTAGACGATATGTACTTAATGAACTGTTCTCTTAATTTTTTCCTCAATAACATGCATCATATGAACATACACTTACTGTATGGTGGCGTGGCTACATGTCATTCCTACATTTAATAACTTAATGGAAATTTAAATGTAATTATATGTCTAAGTGCATAATGGACCATAAATAACTTGTACAAAAACTTATGTATGATCTACATCCTTTATGTTTTTTTTTGTTGTTTTTTTTTTTGCAATAAACACTCCACCACACGCAAAATATCTTTTTAGTGTCATAGACCCTCCATCATAGGGGTCTCATCCAATTTTGCTTCCTTAAATTTTTAAGTATAATCAAATTGGATATTTATATTGAGTTAAAGCAATGTAAAAATTTATATTGATCATAGAATATTTACATTGCACAGCCTATTCTGCTGTTATTTGGCATATAATTAATTTAGGAAAATAACAATTTTCTTTCCTGCTGACACCTGTTTCCTGTCTTATCCTGGTTAGGTTGGTTACTGAGGAAGGCAACAGAGCATGCTGTGTGTGCTGGAAAGAAATACAGCCAAAGGTCAGAACTTCTCATGCAAATAACAAACTCAAAGGTGCATTCAATTCAATGACAGTTTTATACAAACATACAGACTTGGAAAACTTTACAAACTTTTAAGTCCAAGAAAAATAACTACTCACCTAAAGTAGTAAACACTGTACAGCAGAAGAAAAGAGAACTATAGAAGTCCCATGTCTGCCTCTTGTTATCATTGAAATCTTTCAAAATACGTCTTATCGAATCTTCCCATGTCGAGGAATCTAATTCATAAAAAGAAATTAATCTTGAACTTAAAAAATCAATTAAAATCAATACCTTACTTAAAAAGTTAAAGCCTGGCACATAAAAATATTTACATTGCAAGTGTGTATTATTCACACTTTGTAATATCATCTATCATCAAGATACACATTTTTTTATTTAAAAAAAAAAAAAACACTACAGCATATAGGCAGAAATATGTTTAAAAAATATATAATTTCTATATAAGCTCAAGGAAAGACCTGAGTGATTCTGCACTGTCTCCAACACTTTTCCCACCAGTGTACCGAACTGTTCCGAGTCATTGCAAGTCCTGTTCTCAATCTGTTGAAAGACCAGCGCTCCTAAAACTGCATATAAAATGAGAGATAAAATGAGGAAAACGTGAGGAAACCAACGCCAAAACTGTCTCGCACATCTCCCTTTTGCATATGACTTTCGTTCCTCTTCCACCTCCACGGACATGTCTCTCAGTCAGTCAGTCAGTCAGAGACGCGGTAATGGCTGAGCCTGAGATGAAACTGTGTGCTGCCTGCTGAGGAGCAGTCTGGCCACCACCCCGCTGCAGAAAGAAACCACAAACCTAAACTGCCTGTTCAACCGTGTGTTTAATAGCTCAAACAATGACTTCACTGCTGCATGCTCATGCCTCGTTCAACTTTTTTAAACGTGATAGCCTCACAACAATGGAGATTTAACGAGACAACAAGCATAGGCTATTTCTGCATGAAGGAGCTAAGGGCGACAGGTGGGGATGGGTGAAATTTTAGCCTGGATGCCAGGGCTTCAACTTGTTTTTGTCCACAAGAACATGTGTTAACATTGTTTTGGGGTTAGGCTCACAGTTGTAAAACGTGTAAATATACAGTATATGTTCGTGTTGAATACGACAGTAGGCTACCCGAGTTTTGGGGAATTAAGTTACTCACTGTAATTAAACAACGCTAACCAAAGCTAACAACTTTTATTATTAAGCATTTAGTTGGAGATAAATATTGGCTAGGCATTAATTTAATGAATTGTTGGCTTATAAAAATATTAAAATCCTCATCCTCATTGTTTTGCTAGTTGTATTAAAGTGGCCAGAACAGTTCTTTTTCTCAGTGTCTTAGCATTAGGTGTGGCCTTTTAACAGTATCTTGACATGTCTGAATTATTTATGGCCATGCTGCCATGCACTTATTGAATGCACTTGACTCTTTTGCATCTTCAGTGTTTCGCCTATCTGCATGGGTTGTGTATGAAAACTCCACCGGAAAATAAAGATGCTCTTGATGGGTCACTTATAGCTAATAAACCCACATGTGATGCTCTTGAGGGGAAGTGGTATCATTTGATCATTTAGCATAGGCCTACAAGACTACACACATCATGGACACCCCTTGATGGCTGCTCTGTCGAGTCTTCATTGTTGGTTAGGAACCTGGGTGTGGTCTTAGAAACCAATCTTTCATTTTTAAAAAGTCACGTCTGTAAAACTGCATTTTTCCATCTTAAACATCTAAATTACATCATATGTTCTCAATGACAAATGCAGAGCAATTAGTTCATGCGTTTATGACATCAAGGCTAGATTATTGAAATGCTATTGTGGCTGGTCCAAAACGCAGCAGCTCGAGTTCTTACCAGAACCAGGACCAAAGGTTCATTTTGCACCAGAGTTCTCCTTTAAATGTCCTAATTTAATCTAGGCTTAATCTAAGCCCCGTCTTTGAAACTGGCCCTAAATTATTTTTTTGAAGTCAGTGTCATGCTACTAACATCTAAAATAAGAGCTGATGCTTGTAGGAAGGAGATGGAAAATGAATTAAATTTAGACCATACAGAATATTAAATGTTTTATTCAATATCTGCTCCACTCCTTTTCTCATATTTAGAGATTGTTTAGCACAAATAACCTGGTTTACATTAGACAAAAAAAGTAATTTGACAATGCTGGATTTATGATTGACAATGAAAAAAGAAACAAAACCACAACAAAAACAACATGCATTTAGAGTCATCATATCACACAGTTCATTTCTCAAGTCATTCAGTTGGCAGTGTAACACAAAGCAATTAATGGTTGAACAATCTGAATTTCACCAATTCTGGATTAAATAAACACGTCATTATTTAGAACTTAAAATCTTTTATAAGCCAACACTGGTTTGAATAACATTTCTATCGTTAAAACAAAAAAACAAAACAAAACAAAGAAAAAACAATTAAATGGCATACTGAATCCATCCATTTCAACATGGTACATGCACTTTGGCCACGTCACACATTCACAGGTCTTATCCCACTGTCAGTTTCATTCGAAAGACAGAGTACAAAACCATCATGTTACTTGGGGGAATAATAAAATAGTGTTTTATCCTGCAGGTTTATTAACGTGCAGGTCACTGAAGTGCAGTGTTTCGAAGAACTGTGTAGCTGGGCATTTTAAAGTGCTTTTGAATTTCCTTCCAGTTTTAAACTGAGGAGTGCCACTTATTGTACATTCAAAGACTTTTACAGGTCCGCCTCACCCATCATTCAGTCTACCTTTCACAAATACTTGGTTGTACCTTCAGTTTCTTTTTGGTTCTTGCTCCAAAACATTTACAACACTTCTGTCTTTTTAGTGAGAGACTTGATGATCCTCCCTTTGGCTAGATAGAGGAAGCACTGAGTGTGGAAGCAAACTCCCTCCTCCTGTTACCAAACAAACCACTTTTATGGTTTAAACCACACAAATAGGATAGGTGACAGATGAGCGTGTTGTTGTACAGTGTACAACAATAATATATGCTATTGAAATGTATGTAAAATACCCCATCTACACACACTTACATTATTATCTTCATGTGTAATATTGTAAACATTCAGTTTATATGAGTGAATCTTTTCTGTAAAGGAAGACAATCTGACTTTCCTTAATATGAAGTTGGTTTCCAAAGCCTAGCAGTGATTCTCTATGCATTATTTTTAAATCAGAGCATGAGCTCATGGTTAACAATTTAATTTAGTTAACCAAACACACACTGGGGTCATTCGCACACACGTTCTTGCATACATCTGAACCACTTTTATCTTGCTACGTAAACACGCACTACACAGACATCTCTGACCACAATTGCTGCGTTTCGTAAGTTGAAAACAGGTGAACTATTAAAACACCAAAAACAGATCCTGTGTGAACAGCCCTTAAGTCGTGAAAAAAATAAAACACTGTTCAAGTTTCGTCAAACGAGCGACCAGATCGAAACACTTCATTTCAAGCTAGTCTCTCCTCTATTTCTTCATTTCTCTTGAATCAGTTTGCTAGAACAATGGTACGGAGAAGAAAGAAAATCTTCAGTAATTAATAATTAGCACAATTATCCAATTAAAACGTTAGGAAGTGTGCTTCTGTGTTGATTTGAAGGATTGTTGTAATGTGAAAGGCAGAACTGAACTCCCACATTCATAGCTTCTATAAAAACATACCACCCCGGGTCAATCAAAACATTCGGACAAACAACATTGTGGGTTAACACATTATGTAAATGTACATTGTGGATGTATGGATGCATGTGTATGAGCAGTGTTGTGCCTTAATGCGTTAATTGAACGATAGTTCATGAACTTGTTCATATTTTGGGCGAACGTGAACTGAACGTACTGTACTGCCTGATGAACGTTACCGTGAACGCGTTCATTCTGGTGTCAGTGAACGCACGCTCTCTTAGTTTAACTTTGTTCAATAGGGTGCCAGATTTCTATAGAGCCTTCCAGACCAAACCCGGCTTCAACACACATAAACAGGCCTTAATATGTAGCAGAAAAACACCCAATCTGGCAACACAAGCCACCAGTGTCGCACCTAGGCCGCCGCATGCGTCATCAAGACAAGAAGCAGCATGTAGTCAAGCAAGCATCGAGGAGGCGTCGAATTGTATGATCAGTTTTAAGACAAGGTTGGTGAGGATGGGAAAAATCTTAAATTTCTGTGCATACTTTGCCCGCTGATAATTAGCGAAAATAATTGCTGTAGTGGTTATATATGGGTTGTGGCAATAATTGAAAAAAAATAAATAAAAATAGAACTTGAACTAGTTCATATAGAAAGTGAACTTTCTCAACACTGTGTATGAATGTTTATATGTGTGTATGTATGTGTGTGTGTGTGTGTGTGTGGAAGAAGGCACTATAAAACACTGAAGCTGTACATGTTCCAGCAATCAGGAAGGTACAAATCTAGAAAAGATATTCTATTTGGATGACACTTTCTGTAAAATAACCCTGCAAAATATTTAGAAAAAATTCTTGCTCCAGATTTATTAAAATTATTACAAAAAGATGCTTTTTAAAAAGAAAATCTGTTTCTATAAGTGTTCCAGTTTATTCAATACCGTTTTGGCAGGTAAATTAACCTTAGATTACATATTCTGCGAGGCCAAGTCCAACGAGAGGACAGCAGGAAGGCTCAGTTTTCTATGACACCAAGGCCTGACAGTTCCTAACCATAAAGAGCATCAAATCGAATCCAGTTGTTAGATGCTCTGCTCTACATATACATACCTGCTAGGGACATTGAAATGCTTCGAATACAACAAAATAATCGGTGTATATGCGTCACAGTGCTCAACCAGTTTTGTAGGGTTTGGTGGGAAGAGCAATTTCTGTTTTAGAGTCTCACAGAGCTCCAGCCAATCAGGAGTCAAGGGTCACGACTCACGGGAGTCCAGCTTACTGTACTTAACCCGGGTGCTCATCATCGTTCGCAACAAGAACGGTAGCTGGTAGTTTCGAGGCACAATGCCACGGACGTTACTCTCAAAGTACTGGAATGGGCCGAACCACCACACACGAGAGAACAGGTTTCCAGAGGAATTTTCCTTTAGAGCCTATAGGACAGTGAGAGACATTATGTTAGATTTTGAAATACCACTGTTTTCCAGTTCTTCAGAAATTGAGACGCACAGATGCAGATGAAGGAAGAAAGATACCCATCAATTACAGCAACAGAATCAAAATACTGCCTTGATCAATATATTCAAAGACCATCTCTGTACATTTATCCCAGAATTGTTTTCATAATGTCTTGAAAAAGGTCTATTATATGCAGCGTTGGGGGTAACATTACAAGTAATGCAAGGTAAGTAATCAGATTACTTTTTCCCAAGTAACTAGTGAAGTAATGTATTACTTTTTAATTTAAAACAAAACAGAGTAACTTAATATATATATATACTTTGTACATATATATATATATATATATATTCATTTATATATATTATGTAGATTAATATATATGGAGTGCATAATAAATCAATAAAAGCATTAAAGCTATGAGACATGATTTCTTAATTGAGAACATTATTTTTCAAAAATATTATTAGAAAAATTAAGTGAGCACAAGATGCTTAAATCTGGTAAATCAGCAGAGATTTCAACAGAGTTTCAACTCCAAATTTACCTGCTGATTGGCCATTGTATGGTACCACCAGAAGAGGCGTGTGGTCATGAAGTAGGCCACCACCACGTCGATGGTGTAGTGGTCATGAGCCAACAGGATGCAGAAGATGCCGACAGCACTCAGGCACCAGCAGAGCCAGTGGTACCACCAGAACCTCCGTGGAGAATCTGTCACCCATAAAACATTTGTTAATTCTGCGTATTGGTTTCATAGTGTAGGCAGA